TATATATAGTACACACACACACACACACACACACATTTGATAAAAATGTTATATATATTTAATAATAATAATAATAACCATAATTTATATATAGCAGCTAACCACTTAGTTAAGCTGCATCTCTGTAGCAGTTTTACTGTGATGCGGCTCATTTCTCTGTCTGGTGTGGTTCCGATCAGACAGAGTTGAATCCGTCCTGTCCTGGTGTATGGCGCTGGAGTGAGTGCTTGTCCGTCATTAGCAGCAGTGAGTCTGGTTTCGGATCGGGACGCAGGTGTGCTGCTTCAGTCAGACTCGTGTGTAATGGCTCTGTTGTGGATTCCTGCTGGACGCTCTTGTGTGACGTGGCTTTTATCAGAGGAAAGAGGAAGCCTGCAGTCAGAGATGAATATCACACACAGAGTTATGAATGAATGAATTCAGCAGTCACCGGATCTCTGTTATTCTCACTCTAATTATGCTTCCTGTTTAGAGCCAGATTACTGTGTTACTGAGAGGAGACACAGATACTGTGTACCACGGTACAGGCATGTACAGTATCCCATGGTAATACTGTGATGATCACTATATTTATATTCTAATTGATTGCCATATGCATTTACTACGTACAGTATTTGGCATTTTCCTTGCAGATACTTCAAAGAATACCATGATGCTACCACGGTATATGTTCAAGGTAGATAGGTTTAATTAAAAAAATAATAATAATAATTTTCAACACCTACTATTGTAAATTCAAGTTGTTGTTTTTTTGTCCATAGTCCATTTTTTTGGGACATTTGCTATTGTGATACCATGTTTTTGCACTTTTGCCACATTTTATATAATTCATACTACTACTTAAAATATCATATGATTTTTTCATATTTTATAATATTTTATATAATATTTTATGTAAATGTAGTTTATGTATTTTAAGTCATGGCAACTTGTATTTTTACCTTAACTCATCAAAATATGTTGAGCAATTTCAACTTTTTTTAAATAAGTTATATAAGATTCAACTTGATTCTTTTAAGTCAGTTTAATAATAATAATAAGTTAAAATGACTTGTACAACCAGGTTGATTATACTTTAAAAACTGAAGGCAGTTAGAAATTGTTTTGCAGTGTACCGTAGTTTTTTTCTCTTGCAAAAATTACACACACACACACATGATATGTTTTTTAGCACAAAGCGTGTCATTGTAGTTTTGAAAGTACCTTGTAGTACCATACCATGACATATTGTGACCCTGCACCACAAAACCAGTCATAAGGGTCAATTTTGTGAAATTGAGATTCATGCATCATCTGTCTGTGAGGAATGATGTGATGAAGGAAAGCAGGAAGGGCTTTGGCAGTAGAGATGTGACTGTGGGAGGAGAGGAAGCAGCGCTGCGAGACTGTAATGAGCTCTGTCGCTCTTATCTGTGCGCTCAGGTTTAGTTATCGTGTCTGGTGCGCGTGTGCGAGACCGACGCCAGCCTGTCCTGCATTCCAGCCAGCGCTGCGCTGCGAGGGTTCGGTTACTGCCAGCGGCTCTCTGTCTGTCTGATGACGCCAAACACAGAGCATGTGCACTGTCAGATATTACTGTAATGAGCGAGTATTAAAGGTGCAATAGGTGATTGTCTTCAGAAACATTTTTTGTTATGCTGGTTGAAAGTCTCTTCACATCCTGATAGCAATAATTAAGTTAAGTGGTCTAAATGTATTTATCTGTATTTATATATTCTGTGGAAGGCGTAGGACCAAGAAATGCACGTCCAATCAAAACGCTCGGTCCATGTGTATATGTGTGTGAGTGTGTGTTTAATTTAATTTTTAAAAGTTTTTAAAACCATGGTTTGTGCACAGTTCATTTCTGGACACCTGATAATGTCATCTCTGATATAATGTGTTTGTGTGTTTTTAGCACTGCAGGCACGGCATGTGTGTGAATAAGGAGATGGACATGAAGCCGGTTCATGGTGAATGGGGCCCCTGGGGCCCCTACAGTGTTTGTTCCAGGACCTGTGGAGGAGGAACACGCAGCACAACCAGAGACTGCAATAAACCAGAGTATGCGCATAATCTGTTTTAATGAAAATTTTGTTATAATAATAATAAAAAGAAGATATTTATTAACATGTCAATAAAAGTATATAGGAAAAAAAAAAAAACTTAAATTTTATATATTTAGGCAAAATATAATTTCTTTTTTTTCTTTTAATGTTGGAGTGAAATATGATCTTTCTTTTTCTTTCTGTCTTTTGTTCTTTATTTCTTATTTAGTTATACAATATGGTAATTATAAAATATAAAATATGCTTTTTTTTAAGGTGACATATATATTAATTTTGTTTTAATTTTATAGTGAAATATAATCTTCATTCATTTTCTTTATACACATTGATTCTTTGTTATTTTACATATGATTCAACATGATATTTATTCACCCCATCATGTCATTAATAGTATATAAAAATAAAATAGGCTTTAATTTCTTTAGGCAAAATATTATTTCTTATATTTTTCTTTTAATTTGGAGTGAACTATGATTTTAATGGCCCTAAAAAGAGAATTAATTTTTTATACAAAATATTATTATTATTATTTTTTTAATTTAGTTAAGAAGTTTTTAAGTAATTAAGAAGTTTGACTTTCTGTAAATGTGACCAATTGCATTGAATTGGTGAATTTTCGTATTAAATAATTTCTTCCTATCAAAAGGCTTTCAGTGTTTGACAGCACAGATATCTTTCTGGTTCTCAGGCCGAGGAACGGGGGCCGGTTTTGTGTGGGCCGCAGAATGAAGTTCCGCTCGTGTAACACGGATCCGTGTCCCCGCGGCCGGAGGGATTTCAGGGAAGAGCAGTGCGCGCAGTTCGACGGGAAACACTTCAACATCAACGGACTGCCGCCCTCCGTCCGCTGGGTGCCGAAGTACAGCGGCAGTGAGTGTCTTTGACCTATGACCCATCACACACACACACACACACACACTTTTTTCTTCCAAAAGCGCCTAGCAACAAATTTAGCAATTTTTTAAACTTTTGATAAGTGGCTCAGACAATAAAAAGGCACACATTTTCATCCAAATTACACAAAAAGAGGAAACCACAGATGCCTAGCAGTGCACACATGACGTGAATTGAGTTAGCTGCTATTTGCAGTTGTTCAATTTCATAATAATAATCATTGAATCATTGTTCATTTATGATACACTTTGTTAGTAGCTTCTTGTACCTGCGATTTGTTGATCAATTAGTACACAGTAAGAAAATAGGCAAAAGATACTAGTAATTTTCCAGGACATTATCCATTATCCATTGTAACCCTGTAACCTGAAAACACAATGCGTAATTTAAAATACAGGTAAAAAATCAATACGGAAAATGTTCATATTAACATAGTAGATTGTGCCCTAATTTTACAGACTCTTCTTAGCGTGTAGCATACTAACTAACTACTAATACACTGCTTAAAGCATAATTGTTGAGAATGTGTAATATTACTAGTTTACTAGCTATTAAAAAAAACTTAAATTGTAATCATTCAAAAATGTGTAAGAGTTCAATAATTCAATTTATTTAAAAATACAGCTATTTATATTATTTATAATATTGTATTATGCATGTTATTTTACAAACAAATCTAAATTAACATATAAAATATATTTTTAGCTGAGATTTGATGTTGTGACACAATTTTGCGTCGTGATTACGCAATAACGTCATCGCGCAATGACATCACAACGTCATTTAGCAACAAATCGACCTTCCTTTAGCAACTTTCTCTGAAAATGAGTTGGCAACACTTGCTGCAGCTATTGTTGTAATGGTTTTCTAGCGGCTGATGGAGGAGCCGTGCTTCATAATAAATCTGCTGAGCTCGTCAAACACTGATGAATAGCACACAGACAGCATTCATGCTTTTGGCAGATGCTTTTATCTGAAGTGAATGCTGTAGTTACTCGCTGACTGATGAAATGGAGAAATCACATCGCTCTCTGACACAGAAGTAGACTTCAGAATGACTTTGCACTTCATCAGAAACACTCTCTGCTGCTCTGACATGTTTATAGAGGGTGGAGAGTGAATATGAGTGAATATCTCAAGAAAGCTGCTAATTCAAGTACATTTTTCAGACCTGTGACTGTAGGGTCCGTGTACGTTTTGATAGTAAGTTTTTCAATTTAAAATGAAATACGCAGAAATGAGAAAACGGCGCCTTTATTCGTTTTTTTTTTTTTTTTTTCTCGTTTATTCAAATAAAAAAATAAAATAAAAAAAGCGAAAAACAAGATTTCGGCTCAATTTTTAGTTTTTTTGTTTCACGGGTAGAAAACGGATAAACAACTTCAAAATTCGTTTTCCCCATGTGAGCGGTCATGAGACGCCCCTTTCCGCCGATTGGTCAACCAAAGTCGTTCCTCAGTTCTGTTAACCCTTAAATGCATGAATGTTTCACCAATCATTATTACATATTCGGGTCTTTAGCAACCAGGACCTATATATCCAGCATGGATGGATCTCTAACTGCTGCAATAGCAAAAAAAAAACAATGGACCGAGCTTGATTGACAGGCGATCTGACCAATCAGAATGCAGATATTATCTGCCATCTTGCCCGACAGCTACAGCCGGTCTCCATAGAAATCCATGTTAAAATGGGGTAAAAAAGATAGACTGAATTGAAACTTTTTCAATGTAACCAAGTATAAAAATGTGCGCAAGGTTGCTGTGCTGTTGTTGGCTGCCATAGTAACGGCAATAAGCAAAGGAATTCCTTTAAAGTACTTGTATTGCGCACCAGAAAATCTGTCATGTCCGGCGCTGTATGCATGGCTCAGTTAAAATACTGAGTGTGAAATTATTAAATGATATGATATGCATCCACCGATTGCAGCAAACTGTAAAATCAGGATCACCTACTCACCTAGGCCTACTGTAAGCCCAGGGGGAAAAAACATATGGGTAGTTTTAAAATACATGTTCAAACAAAAACTGTCATGTTTTGGCTATAGGCATACGACGTGTTTATGTGATTATATGTTATGATGCTGTATTATATATTAACACTGGACAGTTTGTAATCTACATTAAAAAAACATCCTTCTTGACTCTCCAACCGAGTGTAATGGTAGCCTATGTTAAGAAGCCTTTGACATTATGTGCTCAACAGTATCAGCATCTATTAGCACACTTATTTTGATCTTTAATGTTTGATCTTACCACATTCTTTGTTAAAAAAAAAAAATTAACATTATTCGTTATTAACAAAACGAGTAAGACGGATCCTATAGGACTCTAAACGGATTTTCCCCTTACTTTAAAATGAATATAGTTTTTGGTTCATTGTTAATTTAATGAAAACACAACAACAACAAAAATAGTACAATAAAACTCGCTTATATTAAACAAACTTTTATTAAAAAAACGAATAAGAAGGATGACATACATATCTGCGTTATATTTAAGGTATTTGGATTTTCCCCGATAAAACGAACGCTCGGTTTGTGGTTCATTATCACTTTATTGAAAACACAACAACAATATAAAACAAAGGCAAACTCACTCACTATGAAGCGGACGCTTGTCTGCTGTCCAGCTGAACTACATTGATATTGTTATTTCTATAAAAATGCAAAACGACAGTGGAGCGGTGGGCAAGTAATGCAATCGGTGGATGGCCGAACACCGTGTACCACCGAGAGTTAGTTATTTATTATCTAGTTATTTATCAACATTTTACTTTTCTGTGCACACTCTTAACTTAAATCCTGGCAAAACGAAACGTTCCCGCCCGTGTCTATGGTTACAGTACAGTAAAAATTTAATTCGCTGTCCTCGGTGTATACCCTCAGCTGATTTGAAATACAGTATTTGCAATGACTATCCATTGTCCAAAACTGAGCGTGTCTAAAAGAAAAGTTACGACTGCTTTGTATTTACACTTGACTGAACACTGATCTGTGGAAACGCAGCTTCACCACTCAGATTCAACTCAGCACACAGGCTGGGTTCAGATTAATATTTCTGAAATAAATATTTATTTGAAACGCTTTAGGTTGCACAGAAGAAAGCCCAGTCTAGGACCTGTGTACAGTTTAAGAATCGGTACTGCTATAGCAGCAAAGGAGTATTATTTTGTTTAACAGAACTGAGGAACAACTGAACAACATGGGGAAATGAATTTTGAAGTCGTTTACCCTTTTCTACCCATGAAACAAAAATAAAAAAATTGAGCCGAAATCTTGTTTTTAGTTTTTTTTTTAATAAACGAAAAAACGAATAAAGGTGCCGTTTTCTCGTTTCTGCTTATTTCATTTCAATTTGAAAAACAAACTATCAAAACGTACACGGACCCTGTAGCTCAACTGTTTTTCATTGTCCTCTGGTGTTTCTCATATCTTTCTCATCACACTTTGGTGTTTTTCATCTCTTTCTCATCACTAATTCCTTTCTTGTTATTATAAAAAAAAACTTACTGACCCCAAACTTTTGAATGCTATAGTGTACAGAATCAACAAAATAATGGTAAAATAATGCCAAAAACTCTCCTACTCATCTCTCTTGTTTCTCAGTTCTGATGAAGGATCGCTGTAAACTCTTCTGTCGTGTCGTGGGGACGATGGCGTACTATCAGCTGAGGGATCGGGTCGTCGACGGGACCCCGTGTGGACCGGACACGTATGATATCTGTGTACAAGGCCTCTGCAGGGTATGAAAGGGCTTCTAAAAATGATAATACTATGGTACTTTGAAATTTATTATGGTACTGGATGATTACTGTATTCATATACAATGGTACTTCAAAGAATAACGTGGCACTACCATGGCGTTTATCCAAAACCCATCAAGTTACCATGGTATATGTCTAAAATAAACATAGTAATACCATGGTATGTATCCATGGTATATCTGTGGTGCAAATGGAAACTGACATTCTTATTGTATGTGTTTATCATAGCAAGCAGGTTGTGACCATGTTTTGAACTCGAAGGCCAGAAATGATAAGTGTGGCGTCTGTGGAGGAGACAACTCTTCATGTAAGACCCTCGCTGGAACCTTCAACAACTCACAATACGGTGAGATCCTATGGACCGCTCTGCTCTCCTCTTCTCATCCCTCTTGAAAGGTTTGCAGTGAGGGGAATGCTGGGAAATGACAGAATCATTTGTTCATTTCATTTGTTGATAAGTTCTTTTTTTCATGGGTGGGATAAAGGAGCAAGAGATCATGTGACACAGAAGGGTTTCCTCCCCTCTTTCCTCTTCTTCTATTTGTTGATTTCCTTCTTTATTTTTTTCTTTCTTTGGTTTTGGTCAGCACACTACTCGTCAAACATGGCTAAAATCATGTTCCTCTGCTGTTTTCTCACCAATCCCTGGTGTTTCTCAGTGTTTCTCATCTTTTTCTCATCGCTCTCTGGAGTTTTTCTTATCTTGTTCTCACTCCTCTCTGGTGTTTTTCATCTTTTTCTCATCATTCTCCAGTGTTTCTCATCTCTTTCTCATTGCTCTCCTGTGTTTCTCTTTTTTTTCTCATCACTCTCCTGTGTTTCTCATCTCTTTCTCATCACTTTCTGGTGTTTCTTATCTTGTTCTCACTACTCTCTGGTGTTTCTCATTTTTTTTCTCATCACTCTCCAGTTTTTCTCATCTTTTTCTCATCACTTTCTGGTGTTTCTTATCTTGTTCTTGACACTCTTTGGTGTGTCTCTACTTTTTCTCATTGCTCTGTGGTGTTTCTCATCTCTTTCTCTTTGTTTTCTGGTGTTTTTAATTTCTTTCTCATCACTCTCTGGTTTTTCTCATCTTGTTCTCATCACTCTCTGGTTTTTCTCATCTTGTTTTCATTGCTCTCTTGTGTTTCTCATCTCGTTCTCATCGGTCTCTGGAGTTTTTCTTATCTTGTCCTTGACACTATCTGGTGTTTCTCATATATTTCTCACTCCTCTCTGGTGTTTTTCATATTTTTCTCATCATTCTCCAGTGTTTCTCATCTCTTCCTCATTGCTCTCCTGTGTTTCTCATTTCTTTCTCATCACTTTCTGGTGTTTCTTATCTTGTTCTTGACACTCTCTGGTGTTTCTCATCTCTTTCTCATCGCTCTCTGGAGTTTTTCTTATCTTGTTCTCACTACTCTCTGGTGTTTCTCATTTTTTCCTCATCACTCTCCAGTGTTTCTCATCTCTTTCTCATCACTTTCTGGTGTTTCTTATCTTGTTCTTGACACTCTCTG